TAGTACATCCATGAACAAACATAATGTAAAATATTCATTTAAAGCAGCGGAAACATTTAATACAAGTGTTTATGCCACACTTTAGCAAACATGGGCATACAAGCCCCCAAATATATATTCAAAAATAATATCCATGAGCATTAAATATAATTGTTTTGAAAACAGATACGGAGGAAGCACGAACCATGTCTCCTCTCCTTGGGTCTTCCCAAGCAACGGGCAATGGTAGCAACCTTCAAGTTCTACTTGAAACTGTGAGGTGGCCTCCCCCGTAAAGGGGAGGTCAGTACTTGGAAGCATTTGACAAGTACAATGACAACTATACTAAGTATAATCAATGTTTCAATTTTTAAAACCCTCAAATAGAGTGATATCATAATATAATGATGGTTATTCTTCAACCCTTATTATCTTCATAATAAGTTAATTAATAAATTTGTCGGCACACGGCCCCTTTCTATATTTTATTTCATCCATCGTTTACACGACACCGCCCGTAGGTCTTATCATCCTTTCGAGACTTGTCACCGCTCTCCGAGGCCTCATCGGGCCCTCAGGCCGGAGTCCAACATCCCGCCCCTGAACTCATACCCATCATCCCGTAGGAAGGTAAGGTCCATTCGGGGTCCTATCTTAAGTGTTACCGCTGTCGGGAGCCTCGTAAGGTCTCCGGTTCGGATTCCACCCTAACCCGTGATCACGATGTAAGTCCATGCTATCCAACCCCGCTCTCTAGAGTCGGGAAGGGCCATGGTCCTTACCATTTACCAATATTCTACCGGCTATCCTCAAGGACTACCGAAATGGCCAATCCTATATCTAGGATCAATTTAATATTCACTTTACCTTGGGTATCCCTTAAGGCCTACCCCTAGTATCACTCAAAGTTCATATTTATCCACCTTAGTATCTCTTAAGGCTACATAAGGCTCAACATTTCACAATCCAAACCTTGGATCAATTCTAGCATATTCTCATTCCAACACCCCGACTAGTATCTTAATACTAGTCGGATAAATTCCAACAAAACAAATTTTCAATTCATAGCCATATAGACAAATTCCAAACTAATTTTCCTTTGAAAATATAGTTCACATCAATATACAAAATATAACTTTTAATCACTCATATGCTCTTATATGAAGTTAAAATTATATTTCAACAAATAGTTTATAGTTAATTCCTTTATCAAGCCAACATGCTCATAACACATAATCATACACAATTTATTCTTAAATTTGTATATTATGCTTCTTTTCCTTATAGACAATAGTCTTCTCATTCTTAGGCATTATTAATCATTAATAATCCTTAAAAACCATATTTAATTACCTTAGGTAATCTCATGAAATTAACTCACTAATTATAAGCAATATAGTCAGCCATCCTACCTTATGAAGTGCTGAAATAGTTGCTTTTGTTAAGCCCTTTGATCAATCCCCGTCCTAAACCGATCGAAAGTGCAAATTCTGGACAGCAGCCAAAAGCCGGGCGGCTTTCACGAAAGCTGGGCGGCTTTCGTGGTCTGCAACTGCGAACAGCCTCCTATACTTGGCGGTTTCCGGCGGTTTCAACTCCTATCGATTCCACGACTCTTCTAAGTTAAATACCACCACTTTATAACATTATTCCACACTTTTAAACGTGTAGAACCTCATGTTTAATCCATCATATGATTTTTCAAAAAAAATCATACACTATAAAACTAGTTAAAGAGGATAGGTGAGTTCTTACCTCCCTTCTAGCTAGTTTTCTCCTTGGATTTCCTTTCTCCTTGCTACCTTCAAGTTTGGACCTTGTTGAAGACTTTTTCCTTGAGCTCTATCCCTCTTAGCTAGTTCGAATGGTGTGTAATGAGATAGGAATGATTCCTTCTCAATCAAACACAAATAATGTGAGAGTGGGGTATGGAGGGTGTGAGTTTTTGTCTCAAGGAGACTTCCTCCTTCATGCACGCCCCTCCCCCTTTATTTTGTCCCCCTCCTCACTCATTTGGGGCTAAATGGGTTGTAGAATACCCCAAGTGGGTATAGGAAGTCCCTCCTAATTATTCCTGCTATTTTCAGTAGGTTGGGCCAAAATAGCACTCGGGGTGTCCAAATATTTTTATCAACTTTGGTTGACACTTTATTGGGCTCCAATAATTATTATGATACCCAACTAAATATTTGGTAGCTCATTCTCATTATTATGGGCTCGATAAATAATTTAATTAATCGCACATTAATTAAATATGCCAATCAATTACACGAATCTTATTCGCTAGGAAATTCAAATACATATCAACTTTCAAATTCAAGTGCACACGAGAGCGGTGTCACAGAATAAGTAGAAAATGGTGTGGAATAATAATCGTAGATTCTAAAACATATGCTTCAATTTCATTTCCTACCCGCATTGGGTATTCACTAAAGCCTGAATCATAAATCGCTCTCATTTTTTCTATTAATAGTTACCTTTTAGTGAATGACCATATTGCACGAGAATTGATCAAGGTGACTTCAATGAATTCTTTTTTGCTGCCTGATCTAATCACATGTAATGTTTGTCGGAATCTCCCCAAAAACCACGACTCTATCCGTGAAAAGTTTATCACAATTTGAGATCTCTCTCAAGGTCGTCTCAACGTTCTCCACACTTATCCATTTGCCATAGTCTAGCTTCATCCCATAAAATTAGTTTGCAATAACATATTATGAGGACGATTACCATTACACCGACGTGTATGTGATAGGTGTTATAGACAGTGATGGACACAAATGGGGCAAATGGGGGCCGCCGCCTCCCCCCAATTTCTTTTCAAGTAGGTATAATTACTCAAAATTATGCTCCACATGTATTAGTACATACTGGTATTAATTTATACTACCCATTCCGGTCGGGAAATCATGTGTCAGCTACTCCCTCCGTATTTAAAAGTTCCCTACACTTTCCTTTTTTGGGATGTATTTTAAAGTTCTCTACACTTCCATTTTGGTAAGTTTATCCTTTATAAAATACTCAACTAGTCTTACTTTATCTACTTTTTATCTTCTCTTTAATACTTTTACACTCCTCTTCTACTTTTTCTACACTATTCACTACACCTACTATTCTATCATTAATATTGTGACTAAAGCTAGTGTAGTGAACATTTAAATACGAAGGGAGTACTATTTAGGGAAATGATTTTAATTAAAACATTAAAAATTAAACTACACATATGAAAAAGACTCTATATTATAGCATAACTAAAATTTAAAACTCTTTTGCAAGCCATCACATCTTTTTATCCCTGGTTAGAACTTGTCAAGTCAAATCAGAAACATTTTCACAAATTGGGGAGTAATAAAATGTAAATTATACTCTATACCAAACTAGATGCGATTAAACAAAAACTAAAACGTGTTAAGATCAAATCAGATTAGATAAAAACAAATTTTAGAATATTTTAGTGTAATTGAAAATAAAACTTAGGTAAAGTATGGACACACCACATGGTCCACATTCAAGTTTGAAGGATAAAAATACACGAGGGGACAAAAAGGAGGGGGACAAATCACAAATGCATTTATATTTTAGGAAACATGTTTCAAACTTCCCGGCTTTGGAATTAAAAAAAAATCTAGATTTAGGTAACAAAAAATCTTTACATTAGGGAAACTGTATCAGAACGAGAATTGACCATATGCGTAATGTGGAATATATATGTAAATAGAATAAATAATACGGAATACACACATTACATACGGAGTACGAAGTATATATTTGCTGATTCAAGCCATTTTTGAGCCAGAGCTCTGAGAAGCAGAGACTAAGGTTAGTCGTCGATCACTTTGCATTGCATGATTGCATCGATGGATTATCATTCACATACTAATTTACGTTTCATACGTATCTAATCACTTGCTTTCAGCCATTAACGCCAGTCAAGTTCTCTTATTTTCGAATTTCGTTTAGTTGTGTTAGATTATATGTATTTGATTGTTATGCACCTCTCTGTATTGCTTTGTATTAATCTTTGTTTTCTTTGGATGATTGTACTCTTCCTTTGCCGAAGTGTGAAATACAACAATAAATGAATAAGTGATACGAACATGTGTAAACGAGTAAGAAGCTTTTTGCATTCCCGTTGGAAAAAACCCTAGCAAAAAAGAAATTTAACTTCTTCCCTCCCAATTTAATGGTCTCAATTTCATATAAGTGGTCTCAATTCCACTTTTTGAAATAGGCCCGCATTTTGAAAGTACATTATTCAACTTTATCTAATATATTCCATTCCCTCATCTTTCACTAAAATCACTCTCATTTATCTCCCCATCATAAAAGGTTTCGACTCTATGCAAAATCACAACATTAAATCGGAACTGGGGAGTATTTTCCTATTCAAGCAATGAGTTGTTTTTTTTCCTGTTTCTCAATACTCGTAAATCTCACTTTTGTGGTTTGTACTTATGTACATCGATTTTTCCTGTTTCTCAGTACTCTTAAATCCACTTTTTGTGATATGTACTTGTGTACTCCGTATCTTATTGCCAGTAGGAGTAATAAAGGAAAAATCTTTTCAGCAAAAAAAAAAAAAAAAAAAAAAAAAATCTTTCCTGTTTTTTTTTTTTTTTTTTTTTTTTTTTTAGGAAAAATCTTTTCAGCGTTGAAGCTTCGCAAGTTAGAATTTTTAAACACGTTCTGTGTAAAAGGGTTAGTAGGCGGGGCTTTATTTACAAGTTACAACTCTCCATGGGCCTAAAGAAATCCCCAGATTATATTTAGCGGAATTTAGTTTTAGATGATGCCAATTTGCACACGTGGTCTTTATTCTTTATTCTTATTTTTGTAAAGAAAGCCTGTTTTAGTTTGGTATATGAAAGCTACAGTCTGCAATATTCTGTTGCTTCCACACGTAGTGCTTTAAAAAAGAAGGTTTGGTCAATTGGTCCAGGTGTCCCATCTTTTTCCCTTTTCTTGTTATATATCTATATATATATATATACATTCACAATCTCACACACACATACACACATGTGAATTGTATTTTTCATGTTGTATTAGTAAACAAAGTTAGATTGCTTGAGTTGGTAAATGATCATTTACTTATAATTTTAAAGCTATTGTACTACTGGGGGTATGGCATGGGCAGAGTGGCCAATTGATCTTTTAGCATCCTATTTTGAAATTTGGAAGATTAATTTATATCAGGAGAAACTTCCGTTGCTGAACTTTAAAATCAGTTTTGGTGTTATTGTTTTTGCAGACACGTCTGGATCCTTATCTCTCTAAGTGCTGCCTGCTATTGTCATCTAGTTGTAGAAAATTCTTTATTGTAGACTGGAGCTGGAAAAGAAAAGGATAATATATGGAGGTAGACGCAGGAAGAGGTATGGGATGCCAGAAGATTATGGATGGGAAGGAGGAGAGTAACAGCATTGGTTTAGACATGGCTACTCTCCCTTCTTGTTGCTTGAAAGCTAGGGCTTGTGATGCAGAGCCTGAAGCCACAGCCCATTCAACAGTTTGTTCTGGATGGTTCTCTGAACGGCACTCACCCACTGGTTATATCATATGCCTCTTATTTTTTTCCCGGAATTTATCGAGTTTGTTTTACTTTATTTGAGTTATTAGTTTTCATATTTGAAATTTAATATTAGCTCTTCTTTTGTGTGTCCTCTCTTTTAGGTGAAGATGGAAAGGTATTGTATTATAACAATCCGATGTGGCCAGGTATTTTTCCTTTCATTCTTATTTCTCCTTTGATTACACAGTTTATTGCACATCTGTTATCTTGAATTATAATCCTTAAATTTCAAATTTGTTTCGTGAAAGATTGTGTGTATATCTTTTATGTTCAGTCAAAGCTATATTATCTCTTTCTGTTTTTTTTTTTTTTTTTTTTTTTTTGCATATTTTAATGTTAGAGTATCATGTAGATTCATCTTAATGAGAATGACCATTTATTGTGGCTGGGATCTTACTGTTGTTTGGTTTGCTAAAGTTGAATTTCATATTATAAGCCGTGCTGAGAATACATATTTTCCTAAAACTTCTAATGTATCTGCAGTATAAGTGAATATGGTACTCCGTATATGTTATGCGTGAATGATAGATCATTAATAAGCTTTGTACATGGACTTCGGATGTCCATTGGATTGCCCCATTCAATACAAAATCTGCCATGAGTTATTGAAGTCATTGCTAAAGTTGGTCTTTGTTTTCATGTGAGGAGGAATCATGGTGAAACTGTGTGCTAATTAATCTACAGTATATTACACTTGTAACATACAGTTTACCTTGTTCTAGACAAACTTGTAAGCTTTGTGCCCACCTGCTAATACTCTGGTGCATGGATTTTGTATGCTTTTTAGTTGTAGACTTGTAGTCACAAAGCATTTTTTGTTAGCACTTCAGTACTTGTAATCAGTCTTTCTTACACCCACGTCTATCTCATCTCTCTTCATTAAGCATCTTAGAAATTCTAACCTCAATATCTCATGCACTTTCTCTTGGACATTTTTTTCAATTCACCATCAACATTCCAACATTTGCTAGGTGGCTTAGCAAATTTCACTTCCAATTCATAGGCATTTCAGAATCAAATCAACCAGAAATTACTCTTATTCATCCCAAATCTTTGCCAGCTTTCAACTTTTGCCTGCACCAACATTTTCAATTTCATTTAAAGGATATTCTATTTCTTTTAAATATATCTGAACCACACAGATTTATTTTCTATTTTAGAATTTTTGGTGGCAATTAACCTTTTGAAAAATTTATGTGGGACTGAGGTAGTATATCCTTTTGTAAACTGCAAACACTTTCTTTAGTGAAGGGGGCCATGGCGCACTGGTTAAGGTGTTTCTTTGCAACCTGAGGTCACATGTTCAAGTCTTAAGAGCGGCCTCTTGTCAAAATGAAAAGTGAAGACTTGCCCGTCCTACACCCTTTCCGTGAGACCCTTCCCTGGACCCTCGCCATGTCGAGATGCCAATGTGAATAGGGCTGCTCCCTTTTTCAAACAATTTCTTTAATGTTTAAGAAGTTGTCTAATTTATTGCGGGGTTACAACATTCAACTGTTTAAGGGTAACTTCATTCTAAACTATCTATTAATCACTTCATCTCATTTTGAATTTCCTATTTACTCACATTATTTATTGGTCAAACCAACTATTGATTTTTTGCTTATCTTCTTTAATATTTTTTAAATTCGGTTGTGTTTTAATAATATTTTTCTATAGTTTCTAAATATTTAAATTCTGCTTAAATGTATATGATAAAGTGTTACAAATGTAAAATCACAAATAGCTTCGTCCATAAAATAAGTTCTTAGTTATATATTATTTTGCTTCTAGGGGAAGTACATTCTATCAAAGTTGAGAAGATTTTATTCAAGGAAAGATCAGAATACCAGGAGGTTCTTGTGTTTGAGGTTGCAATCTATTCTCTAAATTGTTTTCTGGCAACCTGTGAATATCATTTTTTTCGGGGGGTGGGAGCGGCTGGAGTTCTAGATGTCTAATATGCTGCTGTCTTGCAGTCTTCTTTATACGGGAAAGTCCTTGTGCTGGATGGCATTGTTCAGCTGACTGACAAAGATGAATGTGCATATCAGGAAATGATAGCTCATCTCCCCCTCTGTTCAATTAAATCCCCCAAAAATGTAAGGAACAATTATCTGGGTTCTTTTTTTGCTCTTATTATATGCTACTTAGCACCATGTATTTTATGCCGTGGTGTATCTGTTTACTCATTCACTGTCTGAATTAGTCCACTGAATTTAATAATAGTTCACGACAGTAACATACTAGCATTTGGTTCTCTCTCTTAGATTGTCAATGATTGTTGTATATAGAAAAGAGTGGAAATGTTGAACTTCTGTGTGTATTGGATGTTCTAGCCTCTAGTTAGCTGCCTTATTTTTTCTATCTGCAATTTACTTATCTAAATCTAATTACCTAAGTTGAATTTCTGAGAATAGTTTGGTTGTAAATACAGGTTCTTGTTGTTGGCGGTGGTGATGGGGGAGTACTTAGAGAAATTTCTCGTCATTGCTCTGTGGAACATATTGACATTTGTGAGATAGATAAAATGGTTATAGATGTATGCAACAACTCACAATTATAGTCTCCATGTGTCATGAAAAATTATTTCACCAGCTGTTATTTTGATATATACTGTGATTCTTCTGTTTCAGGTTAGCAAAAAATTCTTTCCAGAGTTAGCTATTGGCTTTGAGGACCCCAGAGTCAAACTACATGTTGGTGATGGTAAATTATATATCTATTGAATTTTAATATGAACATTAATCTTGGTATAGTTTTTAGCTGCAACTCACCAGTGGAGACATGTATTTGGTTTGAACTATTTGGGGACACTATTTATCTGCCATAGTTGAAAGTTGAAACATATAACACATTAGTTAGTAAACGAGGTAAGGGTCAGATTGGTACTCGAAGTTGCATAAAAAGGGTCAAATAAGTCCTTATATAGGAGGCTCTGTCAGGTCGTCGTCATTTTGGGCGGTTCCCGGTGGAATTTTTTGATGAAATTTTTTGAGCATCTTATTCATTAAGTCATTTTTTCAGCTAAAAATTCAACCGGGAAGGCATTCAAATGAATTTTTGAAGGTAACTGCGCAGTTATCTTCAAAAATTCATTTGAATGCCTTCCCGGTTGAATTTTTATCTGAAATTTGGTATGAATAAACTAGACTTAATGAATAAGATGCTCAAAAAATTTCATCAAAAAATTCCACCGGGAACCGCCTCAAATGGCGACGGCCGGACAGTAAGGACTTATTTGACCCTTTTTATGCAACGTCGAGTACCAATCTGACCCTTACCTCGTTAGTAAACTGCAGAGGCATTCATTTAAAGCTTAACCCACTAATCAACCCAAATGTTTGTTATTTTGTATTCCACTAGAAATTTCAATTGTGGTTGTTAAAACTAAGAAGGTGAATCAGATCATCAGAAAATTTATATGTATTACTTCAATTATACTCTTACATATATTCTCAAATATAATTGTGAATTCTCTTGATTTTGACAGCTGTGGAATTTTTAAGGCAAACCCCTGAAGGCAAGTATGATGCAATTATAGTTGATTCATCGGACCCTGTTGGTATGTAATTCATACTTAGCTTTACTTTTTACTTTCATTTTTTTTTTAGAAAAAGCTATATCATCAGACTATTTCTATTCCATAAATTGAAACACAGGTCCTGCCCAGGAACTGGTAGAAAAACCATTCTTTGAGACATTAGCCCGAGCATTAAGACCAGGCGGTGTGCTTTGCAATATGGCTGAGAGTATGTGGCTTCACACACATTTGATTCAGGATATGCTTTCTATTTGCCTTCAAACATTCAAGGGTTCTGTTCACTATGCATGGACTAGCGTCCCTACATATCCAAGGTAAACAAATCATTTCTAATCCCTACTTCCATCATTTCAGAGTCAAGGGTACACAGAATAGTTCAGTTGTTAAGGGTAATACTTTTTTTGTACATTGTCTGCAGTGGTGTTATTGGGTTTGTGTTATGCTCCACCGAAGGGCCGCCTGTTGACTTTTTGAATCCGATCAATCCCATTGAAAAGCTTGAGGGAGCGCTCCAATATCGTCGGGAACTAAGGTTTTACAACTCTGAGGTATGATATGCTTTTTCAAAGCTTGCAAGTTGTATTACAATTAAAATCCTTGGGTGTAATTTTAGTACATAAGTGCCCCTACAGAGTTACCAACCCTCACTGCCAGTGCTTAATGTTAACTGTATTGATGGTTGGTCATGCCCAGTTTACTGTGTGCAGTGAGGATTTAATAAGTACAGTAAGCTGATCAGAACTGAACCCTGAAAAATCGAACTAGTCAATACCAAAATTTATGAAAACCAAGCATGTCAATACCGAAACTGGCAAGAACCGGCCAAACCATAGGTGGTTTGGTACAGTTTTTAGGTTTACCATAAAGAACTGGCTGAACTGACCAAAATTGTCCAAAACCAATTGAAACCAACACGAATCAACCAAAAATAACCAAACCCGACTAAAGGTATTTGGTTCAGTTCTTGGTTTTACATTTCACAAAATCAATCCGACCCAAACCGGACCAACAATACTGGAAACTGACAAACATCTCTAAGAAATACTACTAGTATATAAAAGGTGAATATTTTCGCTTGTAGATTGTTTTCCCACTCATGTTCCTGTTTTGTTTGTTTGGATTTTTGCAGGTTCACAAAGCTGCATTTGCGTTGCCGTCTTTCGTAAAGCGGGAGGTGAGCTGTCTGCGAGATGTTCGACCTACAAATGGTGTAAACTCAGTAGTTTGATTTTTTCCCGACTATTTATTTCCATGAATATTTGGAACTTATTTGTGAAGACTTGAGAACTATCACACTTGGAGAATAAGCATTTCTAGCATACATGATATGCTGCAATTACGCTCTACATTAAGGATTTTATTTATTTGAATTATGTTGGAAGAAAACTATTGATGACTTAGTCATCAGCAATAGATTGGCAAGGGACTAGGGGTGGACACAGACCCAAGACCGAGCCGGAACTGGCCGTTTTTGTTTAACCAAAACTGATTCAGATGGTTCTGGGTCAGAAGCATATCCAGGGGAGGTTTAGGGTCCCGGGCTTGGGTGGTGCAAATTAGGGGTTTAGGATCAGAAACAGCCATCCAGTCCTTTTTTTGCAATAGAAAAGCAGGGGAGGTCCATTTAAAAGATGAAAATGGCAGAGGAGGGTTAAAAATATATGTATAAAAATTACATCCTGGAACATACTGAACCCGCAGGTTCATTAGAACTATGCATGGACTCGGGTCGGTTTGGTTCCAGATCTGGGCAGCTGGGCTGAGACCGCCTGCCCACCTGGTGCTTAACCCTCTTGTATAGGAACAAGGCCTGGCCGGGTTTTTTAAGCCTTACATATTTTCATATGATATACGTGATCTTGTCACTGATATCATTTTGGAGATTGATTTGTAGTTTATTGAGAATTAGAGATTTGTTTCTCTTATCTCTCGCAATGATAGGAAGAATGTCCCATTAAGGTGACAAGGAACAAACCGTTTAATTTGTTGAGGATTTTTTGTAGCACATTATTATTGAGGGTTTGTATTGATAAACATCACGTCTTTCTAGGATCCAATATAGTGTATTATGAGATGCACAACAGACACGCACATGTAACGATTACAAATGCATAAGTAGAAAATCTCAAGCTAATATGCATTTGCAAATTGACAAACCTAAAAATGATTAGGTAGTAGCGGAGCGGGTCTCAAAAACAATGTGCAAGGTCCTTGCAATATTGTGAAATCCCATGGTCATAGTGCATATATTGGTGTGTGTAAATACAATCATTTGCAACACCTATATGGCTATATCTTTAGATGTATATTCCACTTAGACTCTTCCTTTTCACATAAGATGCACAATGTTTTACATTAATTTTGATGAACATGCAATACTCAATCACACAATGTTAACTTTATAGTGCTAACAAGACTTACAAACTTAATTGAATGGGTGTTGAACTCATAAATAAGTTATGCTAGAAGTTTTAATGCGAAAAGTAGGATAACATGTATTATTCAACATTGATTTCTGGAGAAGTTGATATTTTATCTATACAAAAAGTATGATATCAAACTTGAGTCAATTTAGGTCAACTATTTTAAAGAAGTTACGCAATCATGAATACCGGGGTGTTTCCAAAATGTGTTACTATATTGCATAAATATTTTCAATGTAAGAATAAGTGTATATGTACTCCAAAAATAAAGAGAACATGGATAAAATATAAACAAATTTATAGGTGTACCAAGTATGGTTGACGAATGTGATCCTCGCATAGAGGCTGTTCATCTTCAGAATGCGTGTTGAGTAACATCGACCTCATGAAGATGTGCCCCATAGACTTGTTCTCTAAGCGGAACATCGATCATCTAATAGATGAGATTGTTAGCTAATAGATGAGATTGCCGAATGTGAGATAATAAATTTTCTCGACATCTTCCAGATGCTACCACCAATTATTCATGCACAGGAATGGCATCTTCTACTATCGTGCGATGGCATTCGTTCTAAAGAACTCTAGAGCTGCATACATGACGTGCACTTTGTCACGGTGTGTCAAAATAAATTCAATACTAGCACTAATACATAGTATAGTGAAGTAGAGTTCGTATCCACAGGGAAAGAAATAATTCTCTTTTTATGAACTAGTAAATAAAAGGGGGTTTTTGGTATTGTTGGAATTTAATTAATTAAATACTAAGATGAAGGACTTATATGAGATTTAATTCAAAGATAAAAAGGACTTGGCATTGCTACTTTCCACTTGTTGATATATTTTAGTCGATCATTGTTATATCTATAACTTATCCCCTCTCGAATATTCAATCGAGGAGTATATCCAATTCATCGAGGGTAGTTATTAACAACGACCATTCATTAATAACCCCTACTATTAGTCATGTATAGAACACCGCCATATACCGACTTGATAGTAGCATTTAATCTCTTAACTCCTTGATGAAATCAATTGAGATTGATAACCTCAACACAACGGTTTCGGTTTAACCAACAAAATTAATCCCTCTTAAGTTTATTAACCACGACCGTGCATTAATAAACCGAAGTTACTTACTTGTGAAACCATCAACGATTAACCATCGGTTCGTTGAACGTTTCTAGTAGTAATTAATGTTGAGATGTTAACTAATTGTCATCTTAGCAACACTCCCTAACATTAACATAGAGATAGATTAAGGGAAGAATTAATATTCAAGGAAGAAGATTAAATATGAATAATCCTACTATAATTAATGTCAAGATGTTATCTAATTGTCATCTTAGCAACACTCCCCAACATTAATATATAGAGGAAGAAAATAAATACTACTATAACTAATGTCGAGATGTTAACTAATTGTCATCTTAGCAACACTCCCCAACATTAATATATAGATAGATTAAGAGAATAATTAATATTCAAGGGAAGAAGTTAAGAAAATAACTCACAACTTTAATAATCAACAAGCTTCAAGAGCAACACCAAGAAATGGAAGTTTAGCTCCTCATTTGGAGACTAAACATACTATAAAAATATAAAAGAAATACTATTCTAAACTGAGCTTAAGAGTATGGAAGAAGGGATGCTTTTATTGTGAAGGAAAAGTTGTGTATTTATAGGTGTTTGGAGGTGGCAGGGTTGTGTACCCGATCGGGTATATAGGGTACCCGATCGGGTATTTTAGGCAATTTCCCGGAAAATCACTTTTCTAGACATGCCCGGTCGGGTATGTAGGCATACCCGGTTGGGTATGAGCCATAAAGTCAAAATCCTGCACGTTCTTTTGTCTCTTCAGATTCTGATTTTGACACCCGAATCAACTCAATACCCGATCGGGTATTGCCTATACCCGACCGGGTATATGAAATATTTTTTCAATCTTCTTTTTATCTTGTCCCCTTGCACTTTCCTTGATCTTTTGGGGTACAAACTTGATCCTTTGGATGATCTTGACCTGTTTTAAGCTCAGAATAATCCTAATCTAAACAAATTACATCTATCTAAGAAAATGAACTAATTACACCAAAAGTGTGTAATTTTCAAAACAACAACAAATAAAACTAGTTAAAATAGAAATAATACATAATAAAAATACAACTCTATCAATACACAAGGATGGTGGTAGATCTATTCATGAAGGCATTAACTCGGCCTATGAGACCTCTATGGAGGACACAATTGTCAAAAGTAGACAACAGAGCAAACCTCTGGGAGATATTCGAGATAATGAAGCAGGTCATCCTCCGACTCAATCGAAAGAAAAACATCTTAAGTGTCTAGGGTGCGGAGTTCCTATGATGTATGGTCAGTTAAAAGGGTATCAAAGCAAATCCAGAGAAAATCAAAGTCATCATTGTCATTTCAAGACAATATAACGGCTCACAGCAAAGTCATCATTGTCATTTCAAGACAATTTAACGGCTCACAGGTCGGTTCACATCCTCAACCGCTTCCTCTCCAAATTGCCCGAGATGTCCCTCACATTCTTTAAGATAATGAGGAAAGCAAAAAGCTTCCAATGGACAACAGAGTTTGAACAAGCCTTCAAAGACGTGAATATATACCTCACCTTGGTGTCAATTCTCTCCAAATTAGAAGCATGGGTAACACTTTACATGTACCTCATCATTAATATGAATACGATCTTCGTACTCATCCAAGAAGATGAAGAGTTGTGGAAGGAGATATACTAAGAGGCATAGCTCAATCACCCTTAGATCGAAAAGATGATGTTAGGCATTGTGTGGATAGTGAAGAAAATTTTCCACTACTTTTTAATGCACCTTGTCTATGTCCTCACCCAGCAACCGTTGTGCACCCTAATGAGAAGTCCACCAACTTAGTCATAATGGTAAATATGTCATTTTATTTAGCTAGTCACAATGGCTAAGACTCGACCATCAATGAAGTGGTAAGTCGTGGAAAACTACATTGTCGAGTGCATAGACAGTGATGAATGGTGGACCCTACCGACTGATAGCTCATCAGCCACCAAATTTTATGGGGGGTGTCCTAAAAACCTGGAGGGCTTCTAGGCATACTATGACATCCATTCCATTGGACTGAATTTTAAGTTATAGTCCGAACTGATACGTTATCATCTGAGTTGTTAATGCATTTCAAAATAATAAGAATACACATAAGAACATGTCACTCCTCATTAAATCGAACCAGAAAGAATCAGACTAGACCATATCATATTTAACCAGATCAACTACAGTAAATCATATCTTACCAGATCATTAATCGGGGCGATTGGCGCGCGTTAAGCTTTGCGCATATTAATCAGACCGATTAGGCCGCTTTTTAGAATTATGCATTGAACTGTACCACTATATCATGCTATAACATACCATACTGGAGCTGGCCAGACCTGAGCATGGGAAAAGTTTGAAAAAAGATGGTGATTTATAATTTATGTGGCATTCATATAAAACTCATTGAATACTGTTTACTTTATGAAGCAATAAAAATAATAAATTTAAGTGCGCACATAGTGCATGCTAGTTCTTTTGTTGATAAAACAGGTTTTGGACTTCTTCAGACTAATCTTACTTGTTCAAAACTGACCCTAAACACTTGGGAGATTTCGAACTGAACCCTTCAACTATCAAAACTGACCCTAAACTCTTGGGAGATTTCGAAGTCAAATTCTTCATTTTGTCTTTCAAGTTCCCAACATCATTTACTATATTTGTATATAAGGAGGGCACTTAACTTATTAAGCGCGTCTCAAGTTCTTGACACTGTTCTAGAAGAAACGTCATTAGTTCTTATTTCTTAACATCAAGTTCAAACTCGCACATTGCATGTAGGCTACGAGTCAATGTCATTATTTCAAGAAAATTAACTCCCCAATATCATGAAGAAGTGACTCGAATTTAAGATCCCCATAAGTGTAGAAACATA